GAATGCCGATCTCCAAATGTAGTTGGGTAATGGCCATTAACACCAGATGGGTAAGTGACTATTGTCCACAGATGTGGGCCCCAGTGAGTAACTGTTCACTCTGGGTGTAGAACAAAGACTGAGGGCTTAACGGTACATCTTGTGTCTCTGAAAAAGGCTTCATGCCTGATTGTATCTTTCTCCACTCCCCAGGGCCTACCACTTCTGTACTGCGTGGCTTTCCTTGATCACCTGTGGAAGCAGAAGTCAGGGGAGGAAAAAGAAGAGGAGGAGGAGGAAGAGGAGGTATCTCTGGATCCACTGAAGCCATGTTCTCTTCCCAAAGAAGCTCCTATTGGAGAACAAGCCACCACAGCCCCATCCCAGCCATCCTGTGATTCTCAGGGCCTCCACAAGGCCATAGAGACACTAGAGCAAGTACTCATGCAGACCCCAAACCCTTCCAGATCCTTCCCCACCTTTCAGATCTTGACCAACCTGCCTGTGAGGCACAAGACAGCATCAGGGAGCCACCTACAGCAGAGAAAAAGCCAGCTCTTCTGGGGTCTCCCCTCTCTGCACAGTGAGTCCTTGGAGGCCATCTTCCTGAGCTCAGGTGGCCTCTCTCCCCTGAAGTTGTCTGTCAGTCCTTCTGTCTTCTTTAACAAGTTTGCCTTCCTGCCTAGAACCCCAGTGTTGCTGCTTCCTCAGTATTGCTCCCCAACCCCACTTCCTACACATGAAGTCCATACTACAGAAGATCTGGAAGGAATGGCCTCTGACCCTCAGCAACTTTCCTCCCCATCTTCCCCTCCTGTCCCATCCCTTCCCTTCCAACTTAAATCCTTTCCCAGGGACCATAAGAGAGTCCTATCTGGCACTGAGGCAAATACACAGTGGCTTACACAGCAGAGAGAGGTCCCTTGGGTCTCTGAGGATCAAGCCCTGCATCCACAGCCTAACCTCCAAAGAACCAGGCCCTCCAAACTCTTCCATTCAGCTGAGGTCTGGTGGAAGGTGCCATGGGATCCTGGCCTCCAACAACACATTCCAGACTCACTCTGTGCCTCCCTAGCAGAAAATCCTGCTAGCCTTCCAGGAGCCCTAACTAGGTCTGAGGCCCCATGGAGGACCACAGGGCAAAATGAGGACCCCAAAACCCCTGAGCCAGCAGTGCTAGCTCCCAGCCTAACCCCAACTTCTCTGCGAGAATGCCAGGGAGTTAGCCCTATAGGAGGCCTCTCTGGACCTGAGGCCCTCTGGGAAACCACAAGGCGAAGAGAGAATCCTCAGATCTCTGAGCCTCCGACCTCAGTCCCTTGCCAATCTGTAGCCCCCATGACAGAGCCTCAAGGAACCAGCACCCTGGAAGTTCCACCTGTATATGAGACTCAGTGGGGAACCACAGGACATAAAGAGTGTACTCAAGCCTTTCAGCCCCCAACGCCAGCCCCCTGCCCTCCCTCACATCCCCTGCCAGAACTCCAGGGAGGCAGTCCCCTGGGAGATCCATCTGGATATGAACCCCAGTGGAGATGCAGAGAAAATTCAACAAACCTTTGGGCCTTTGAGCCCCCAGCCTTGGATGTCGACCCAGGACTCCATGGAACCATGCCTGCATGTGTCCCATCAGGATCTGAGACTCCGTGGAAGGGCACACAGAGTAGAGAAAATCTTTGGGTCTCTGCAGACCTAGTTTCATCTCCCAGCCTTCCCTCAGCCTCTCTGCTGGAGTCCCTAGGAATGGGTGCCCAGGCAGTCTTGTCTGAGTCCAAAGCTTTGTGGGAGGCCATGAGGCAGACAGACAACCTCTGGACCTCAGAATCTCCAGGCCCTGGCCACAGCCCATCTCTAGCTCCTGTTCTAGAACCCCACAGAATCAATCCTGTGGGAGGGCTCACTGGGTCAGAAACTGCATGGAAGGACACTGATCATTCCAGGAATTCCAGGGCTTTTGAATCACCATCTCTGGCCTTCAGCCCACCCGCAGTTCTTGTACTGGATTCCCTCAGAGTTAGCCCTACGGGGGTCCTGTTTGATTCTGAAGCTACATGTGGGGACATAGAAAGGAGAAAGAACTCCTGGGCCTCTGAGCTCCCGGCTTGCAGCTTACCCCAAGACCCACGTGGAGCCAACCCCTTGGGAGTCCAATCTGACTCTGAGCCTACAGGGGGGGACATGGAGCAGAAAGAAACCTGTTGTGTTCGTGTGTCCCCATTGTGGGGTCCCAGCCCATGCCCAAACTCTATGTCAAAGTCTCACACAAGTAAGCCTATTGGAGACCAATGCAACTGTAAACCTGAGGGGGAAACAGTGGAGCAGAGAGAGAACTGCTGGACCACTGAACTCCCAGCCCCAACCCTCAGGTCACTCTCTGCTCCTCTACCAGATCCACACATTGACCTTGAGTTTGTGTGGAGGAATGTGCAACAAAGAGGGATCCCCCAGGACCCCAGCCTTCCAGCAGCGGATCCCCTCCAGCCAATACCCTGGCCTCCCACCCAAGCAGAAGCTCTGAAGATTGAGTCCAACCAGCCTGGGCTACCCAAGGGAGAGCTGTTCCCAGGGGCTAAGGCAGAGACTCCATCCTCCCAGGGTGAGGCTGTCCCAAAGGTGCCCACCCACTCTGAGATCCAGGCCTGGCACTGGAGTAAAGAGTTGGAACTCAGGCTGAAGAAACTACAGCAGAGCCCTACTTCCAGATCTCTTGGCCCAAGTCAATCATTTGGCAGCTCCCCTGCCCTGAGCTCCACAACTCAAGCCACCTGGAGACTCTCTTCTTGCCCACCACAGCAGATTCATCCCCTCAGTCTGTGCCCCAACTCTTCAAGCTGTCATCCCCCTAAACCTCAGAGCACAGTAACTCAGCCTGTCCAGGTCCCCCACTGTTATCACTCCCACTCCTCTATCCAACCTCAGCTATGCAAGTCTGGCAGGGCAGAACAAGAGTCTCAGAAAGAGCAAAGAATGAATGTGAAGATGTCATCCCAAGGGTCATGTGTTCACTGCCCAGGCCTGGAAGAGCCCTCATACCCTGAGGTTCCAGCCTCAGGCAAGAGACAGGACAAGGCTTCAGCCCTATCTTCAGCCAAAAAGAGAGAGAGCCTCAGGAAACCCAAAGAAGGAGACCACGGAGAAGGGGATGCAAAATTGGGGTCAACCACAGTTGCAGGGAAAAGCCACCTAGCCCAGGCCAGACTAGCAGAGGTCCCTGTAAGCAGACTTTTGCAAAGATCTCAGCACAGGGACCAGAGCTCTCTACACACTGCTCCCTCCCCGCAGCCTCACTCCAAGGCTTCAGATTCCCAAGATCAGAGAGGGGCAAGGCTGGGAGCTGGTGACATCCGGGCCCCTCGGCACTGTAAGCACTGCCCTTGGGCCCAGAAGCGTCTTCCCACCCCCACACCTCAGGCTCCCCTTACCAGGGGTCTCCAAAGGGTGTTAGCCAAATTTCTGGGTACCCTTGGACCCCTGCCCACCAAATCCAGTCAGCAGAAAAAAGGCTGGTAGTACTGGCACCCAATATAAGTACCCCAAGACCTGAAGCCAAACCAGTTGGGGGGTGGAGACACAAAGGAAATCCTAATAAACTAGCTGAACTAGACAAACCCCACTCAGGTCTTTTTTGGAGGCTGGGGTACTGGAAATGACGGTTCCCTATTCTGCTGCAGCTGTATCTCCTCAGGATCAGGTCCCAGAAGTAGAGCTCAGGATTCTATAGGCTTAACTTTCTTTGCAAGCTGTTCACAGATGATCAACCTGGAGTCTACAACCTGGAGTTCTCACTCTACAGGGTGAAGCTGTTAAGGCCAGGGGAGCACAGACCAATGCTGCCCTTGAGAAAAACTTCACAGCAAGTCAACAGAAGAAAACTATATCCATTCACAAGAGCACAATTGGTCTGGGTCTAGGCAGCTGCTCTTGGTCCTGGGTATGGTCCCCTTCTTCACATACTTGATACACAAGTTCCCCACATATGTTTCTAGCCAATTCTTGTCAGCCCTCTGCTCTTTTCTCTCTCTAGTTTAGCTCATGCATCCCCAAGGCCACAAAAACAAGTCCCTTTTCATATGTTTAGCAATCACTGGATTTCTTCTATAATTGCCTGTTCATATCGTATACCCATTTTTCTACTGCACTGTTTACTGGGTATTTTATTACTTTTCTACTGCTGCCATAACAAATTATCACAAAACGACATAAATTAATTTTATTAGAAGTCTGATATATGTCTCACAGGGCTAAAATCAAGAGGTTGGCAGGGCCGCATTCCTTTCTGTAGGCACTGGGTAGGATTCATTCCTGGTCTTTCCCAGCTTCTAGAAGCTGCCCACATTCCTTAGCTATTGGCCCTCCTCCTCCATCTTCAAAGCTAGCAAAGGCAAGTCAAGTTCTTCTCACATCACTTTTTCCTCCCTCTCTCACTTTTCAGGACACTTTTAATTACATTGGACCCACCTCAATAATCCAAGATACTCTTCCTATCTTAAAGTAAGTTGGCTAGCAACCTTAATTGCATCTGCAACTTTAATTCGCTTTTGCCATGTAGCACAATATATTCACAGGTGCCAAGGATTAGGATGTGGGCATTAGTCAGGGGGTTTGGGAATGGCATTATCCTGTCTGTCACAGATATTAACTCAACCTGTTAATATGCTGCAAATAGTTTCTCCCAATTTGTAGCTTATATTCTAATTTTAAAGCGATTTTGCCATGCCAAAGTTTAAATCTACCAACATGTTCCCTTATGGATTCTAAAACACTTTCTTCTAGCACCCTCATGGACGTTTATTTATTTTGGGCCAGGCCCTGCAGCATGTGGGATTTTAGTTCCCCAACCAGGGACTGAACCCGTTTCCCCTGCAGTGGAAGGGCAGAGCACTAACCACTGGACCACCAGGGAATTCCCATAGATGTTTAGATTGTTAATCTAATTTTTGAGTACAGTATGAGGAGAGAATCTAACTCCTCCAACCCCCCAAAAAAGATATCCAATTTTACCAACACCATTAAAAACATAATGTCTTGAACCCATTCCATTAAGTGCCATATTTCAAAACACGGGTCATTTTTTAACCATCTCTAGGCTTCAGGATCCACCTATCTAACCACCTACTAGTATTGTCTCATATACAACCTGTCTAAAACGTATTCATTTTCCCTTTAACTTTGTCCTCCAATGTGTGAATTCCTATTGAAGGGGTGTACAACATCCACCCCAGTACTGAAGCCAGAAGCCTGCTCCTGACTCTTCCTTTAACCTCACACCCCAATCTAAAAAAGAAAAAAAAAAATGATTATCTCTGGTTATTGGGAATATTATATAATTTTTGGTTGCATTACAGATCTTAGTTCCCCAATCAGGGATTGAACCCGAGCCCACGGCAGTGAAAGCACCAAGTCCTAACCACTGGGCCACCAGGAAATTCCCAAAAATAAAAGTTTTTTAAAGAGTGAATTGTTGGTCTTCCCTGGTGGTGCAGTGGTTGAGAGTCCGCCTGCCGATGCAGGGAACGCGGGTTCGTGCCCTGGTCCGGGAAGATCCCACATGCCGCAGAGCGGCTGGGCCTGTGAGCCATGGCCACTGAGCCTGCGCATCCGGAGCCTGTGCACAGAGAGGCCACAACAGTGAGAGGCCCGTGTACCAAAGAAAAAAAGAAAAGAAAAAAGAAAAAAAAGTGAATTGTTGGAAACTCCCTGGTGGTCAAGCTGATAGGATTCAGTGCTTTCACTGAGGGGGCCTGGGTTCAATCCCTGGTCGGAGAACTAAGATCCCACAAGCCACACTGTGAGGCAAAAAAAAAAAAAAAAAGTGAACTGTCAATGAAAAAAAAGTGAATCGTCTATACACAACAATGCACATGTGGTTGACAATACTGTACTGTACACTTGGAAATTTTTGCGTGAATTTTGTTATTTTGCCACAACAAAAAAAAAGAAAAAGAAAAAAAAGTTATCTAGCCCTGAAATCTGACGGTTACTTTCCTGCCTAAACCCCCAGAGGACCCACAAGATCATTAGAATAAAGTTCACACCTGGCATTTGAGGTTCTTCACAATGTGGTTTGGCCTCTCAGAATTCACTCCCTTGCTAGTCAACCTGATGCTTCTTAAGCATGCTCTGACCCCATGTCAAGCCTCCCACCTTCCTTTGACCCCCAGCTCAGACTGCCTCCACAGCCTTCTCAGATTCTCCTGTCTTGGTATGGTTTCCCCTTCCTTGCAGCCCCATAACAATTTATGTCTTGTTGATAGCACTGCTTTCCTGATACTATGGCTATCAAGCCCTTAAAAGACAGTGAGGTTCTGTGAGGTCAAGTTCACACTCCCAAACCAGTGCTCTTCCCAATCTATAACATTCGCTCTACTCTGTATAGTTGGTTGAGAAAAACAGAAGGTACATGCTTCCCTCTGCCTCCTCTCACTAATGTTACTATTCTGTTCCAAAGTTTTATTTAGCCCTAACTTGTCTATAGGGTCTGAGCCCAACTTACCACCTGCTGGCCAGGAGTGGAACTGAAGGTACTTTCCTTCTCCCCACCTATCCACCCCCAGAAAAACGGTCTCATAGTCTCAAAGACAATGCAATTCTGAATTTCCACTTGACATAGGGCCATTTAATGAGTCTATGCAACTCTGAATAGCTTTATGAAATATTCAAGTCCTATATTCTTAAGTCTTTTTAAGCCCTCAGTAGGTTGTAGGGCTGGGCAAGATTAACAAACCATTTAACATTTGTTCAGTTCAGTCAAACTAATGACTGGCAGCCCTGTGCTCCTCCTGGGCATTATGTAACCACTACTCTCAGGGCTACTTGCAGGATCAGTGTCTTGGACCCCAATATATTTCAAGATGTTAGATTTATAGTTCCATCTTTGCTTTCGCCTCTGTGGTGAACTGTTGGTCCTCCATGATCTAATTTAATGCCATATTTTTGGTTAGAAACCCATCTTCTAATCACAGCACTTATCCTGTGGGAAGATGGCTATGGTAAGATCACATTCCAATTTCTTTCTGGGAACCCTGTGGGGAAAAAGATGAACTGCCTATACAATTTGCCTCTTGGTTTAAGTATGCAGGTTTCTGCAGGTGCATTTTGACAATAAACAGTCCCTCACACTGCTTTCTACAGTTTACAAAGCACTGTCAATCATTTTATCAGACTAAGAAATCTCGAGGCCCCAGAAGAGCTCCGTGCCTTGTGTGATGCTACACTGCTATAAGCACAAGTGCGAGAAGCAAAACCAGGCCTGTCACAAGTTTGCTCTTGTTTTTTCCCTAAAGAAATCTATAAAGCTCCAACAATCTTCCCTATAGACACACTCCGTGTTATAAGTGAGTGCAAAGCAATCATTTCAACACAAATTTCTATCACATATCAACCAGTACCTCTACCTATTTTGTGGGATCTTGCCTTCTGTTGTGTTCCCATAGCTTGATGCAGAGGTACCAAATGTCTTTACCACAAAAGACCCTGTCTTTGGTCTTACTGAGGTTAGGTTGCCACAGGGATGAGATAGAGTGACAATGTCCAGAGTAGGAAGGCTGAAAGCTAAGCCGTCAGGATACCTAAAATGGTAGGAAAACCAAAGGAGGACCAAAGACAGGATCCAGTGGAGGAAGTGTCACAAGGGACAGTCAATGCAAATCACAAAAGTGCAAGAATATCTATTTCACAGCACATGAGTTCAAGATGCCCCAGTTTAATCAGCCAGTGTAACTATCTTGAGTCCTTGTAGTTTACCTACCTATGTAGATCAAACCAGAGGCTGGTATAAGTACTAGAATGACTAATTTGACTCAGTGGATTATTTTCTCTGCACCATACTCCTTCTTCGATAAGGCATCGAGGTACTGATCCCAGAAGCACTAAGTGATTACGTTAGTACTTGCTGAACGAAGAGGATACTCTCTCTATACCTGGACAAAACTATGCAAGCAATCATTTGAAAAACGAGGAGCAGGGGAGGATGTTTCGTTTAGAAAGAAACACATCCAATACTAGAATTTTATATTAGAAAAAAAGCTATGTTTTCATAATACAAATTACATAAAGGTGGACATAACTGTAAGTGATCAACCAGAACATGAATATATGAAATTTTTAGATGCATCAAGAGAACATCCATCTCCAGACAGAGACTGTATCTTTCTACAACTTTTAGATTTCTGGAGGGCACCCCAATCCAGCCTTGGTCGGGAAAAGGGGACTCTGCAGGCCTAACCTCACCATCCACATCAAATACAGGTAGAGGATCCCACATTCACCACATCTGGAGCTCCATTAGTCTGCTCTCCCTCCACTGCAGTCCTATCCAGTGATACTGCAGACACTGGGCGAGGCAACAGTATACCAATGTTTATCAGTAGGGGAAGAGGGTGCAATCTTACTTCTAGAATTTCACATTTGGAAGAGTGCCTTGGCACTCTTGGAGTAGCCCGAGGCCCTTCCCAGGAAAAGAAGCAGGCACAGGGGCCAGGACTCGGTCTCCATTTTGACCCAACGTTTAT